TGAGACCAGCCTGATCTACAAAGCCGAGTTCCAGGACAGCCAAGACTACACAGACAAACCCAGTCTTGAAACATCAACAAGGAAATACTCAAGATGCAAAGTCAAGTAGAATAGGGCTTTTTAAGACTCACAATTCACAGAATAACTTACTAGATACTCATGGCTGAATTTTGGACACAAGGGAAGCAATTGCCTTGTGTGCAAAGTTTAAGAGCAGTATTAAATGCATCAATAAATATTATGCTATTTGTTACAGTAAAAATTAGTACAAGGGGATAGAGAGGCGGCTCAGCAGCAGTTAAGAGCACTGACTGCTATTCCAAAGGACCTGGGTTTGATGCTAATACTGGCATGGCCAGTTCACCACCATGTGTAACTCCAGTTCTAGGGGATCCAATGCTGTCTTCTGGCCTTTGCAGGCACCAGGACTGCAATGATGCTCAAACATACATGCAGTTACAACACACATATGCTTAAAATAATAGTAAAAATTAATGGAAACATCTGTATTGCAGAAAATAGCGAATTTTAATGTATGCTGTTTGAGCCTTGAGAGAAGGCTCTATGTTTAATCATACTTGTTCTTGCATAGTACCTGGATTTAATTTCCAGAACCCACATGGTAGCTCACAATTGTCCGTAACTCCAGCCCCAGAGCATCCAACAGCCCCAGAGGATCCAACACCTTCTTCTGACCTCTGAGGGCAGCATATACGAATGTGGTGCTCTAACATACAATTAGGCACAACACTAAAACACATAAGATGAAATAAAATAAATCTAAAAATTACATTGTTGTTTGAGGAGCCTAAATTATTGTGCAAGGGGAGCAATCTTTTCCAGTAAGCCATGGGTTTATATGTCTCATGTGTCCTCCTAAGATAGGTTTATACAGTTTTACAATGGCATGTAAATAAATTGGGCATGGTGTGTATGTGTGTGTACTCTTAAAATTTCCACTCATTTGAAAACACAGGAGAACTATATATAGGTACATACATTTCCCCTCACGTCTCCCATGCCCCCCCCCCAAAAAAAGGGCACTGCTTCCTCTTTCTCAATGGCTCACTTATGCCTCACAACAACTCCAAATGGTGGTGTCTCAGGGTTACTATTGCTGTGATGAAACACCATGACCAAAGCAACTTGGGGAGGAAAGGGTTTAGTTGGCTTACATTTCCACATCATTGTTCATCTTTGAAGGAAGTCAGGACAGGAATTCAAACAGGGCAGGAACCTGGGGGCAGGAGCTGATGTAGAGGCCATGGAGAAGTGCTGCTTACTGGCTTACTCACATGGTTTGCTCAGCCTGCTTTTTTTGTTTGTTTGTTTGTTTGTTTTTTTTCAGACAGGGTTTCTCTGTGTAGTTTTGATGCCTGTCCTGGGACTCACTCTGTAGACCAGGCTGGCCTTGAACTCACAGAGATTTGCCTGCCTCTGCCTCCCAAGTGCTGGGATTAAAGGTGTGCGCCACCACTGCCCAGCGGTCAGCCTGCTTTCTTATAGAACCCAGGACCACCAGCCCAAGGATGGCACCACCTACCATGGGCTGGATCCTCCCCCATTGATCACTACTTGTGAAAATGCCTTACACCCGGATCTTATGGAGGCATTTTCTCAATTGAGTTTCCTTCCTTTCAGATAACTCTTAACTTGTGTCAAGTTGACATAAAACTAGCCAGCATGGGTAGATTCTGTAACACTGCCTCTATTCACAGAAGGGAAAAGTAAGATTTATGCACACTTGAAAAGATAGCACAGATAGGACTGGGGCTGTAGTTCAATTGGTAGAATGCTGCTTAGCATGCACAAAACCATGACTTTGATCCTTCGCACTGCAGGTATTGGGTATGGTGATGCATGCCTGTAATCTCAGCTTTTGAGAAAGAGAGAGGAAGGAGGATCAGAAGTTCAAGGTCATTCTCAGCTACATAGCAAGTTTTAGGACTGTCTGTGATACATGAGATTATTTTTTAAAAAACACAGAAAGTAATATTGTAACATATTCAAAATATATCAAGATGGTATGTTAGATGTGTTAACTTTTGGTTGAGAATATCTTTAACATTTATTTTTGTTTTTAATTATGTATGTATGTATGTGTGTGGGTATGTGCACATGGGAGTGTAGGTACTTGCAGACAGAGTTCAGAAGAAGGTGTCTGATCTTCTGGAGCTAGAGTTACAGTCAGTTTGGAGCCACCAGATGTAGGTGCTGGGAACCAAACTGGGGCCTCTGTAAGAGCAACAAGTATACTCTTAACCTCTAAGCCATCTCACTAGCCTCTTGGTTGAAGACATTTGTGCAGAACCTGAATTGCTGTAACTTGGTATGGCCTAGAGATAGTGCTGAATGTTAGACTTTCCTTGGCAGGTAGATCCAGCTCTTCTTGTTTCCAAGAGCTATAGGACTGATGTGAGCAATTTATTTGAGTCTAATGTGGTGCATGCCATGCCAGTGTCTTGGGAGCTGTGGATTCACAGAGGAAATAAGGGGACAATCGGGGCAGGGACATCATGTAGAGATAAGCAGGGACCACGAGTCCATGTCTGAACACACAGTGTTCCAGGTTGAAGAGCAAGAGGCAGTGTCAAGGCTATCTTCTGTCCCTTCTGCAAGACAAGCACACAGCATTTTCCCTGTGCTATTGCTGATAATACCTGGCTGAAAGCATCAAAGGACACCCTAAAGATAAATGTGCTCAATGCACTGAATATTTGACACATGTACCTAAGAGCACTTGGGACATGTATGGGTAAAACATATTTAAATGCATTGCAAAACTCTTAAAACTTTCCACCAGCCTCTCAGAGCCAGCCACTGGGTTTTCCTCCCCAGAGATATAAACCACCTATTTCTTGTGGCTCTTTCAGAGATGGTGTATGTGCAGGCAGGCAGTTATTCTTTCCTTATGCTTTAGTGCCGACATGTAAGTACTTCATTATATAGCAGAGCCTCCAGCACATTATCAAGGGGGATATATTCAGAATGGCAGGGACCTAATCATACCTTATAAGTCATTCTAAGCCAGAGGCCCTCAGCCTCAGTCTTATTGATATTTGAGGCTACATCATTCACTGTCATGGGCAGCAGTTCTGCACACTGTGGCCTGTTCCCTAGCGTCTCTCAACTCCACCCACTGGATGCCAGGAATACACTGCCAGTCCCTATAGTGCCTGGGTCAGGCAGCTGAAAATGTCCCCAGGGGAAAAGGAGTAAAATTATTACCACTAAGAACTAGTGTTCTAGTTGTACAAGGTGGATCACAACACTTAAGAGGCAACCTGAGCTGCAGAGTGCGATTGTCTCAAAGCAAAACAAAGCATGCCAAACTGAACAACAATCACATTGTGTTGTAAATCTTGTGTGGCATTTCTGGAAATAGAGCAGATATTGAAGAGGGGGGAAGTGGAAAAGATTCTATGTTATGAAATTCCAAATATGTGAAGATAACATTGGAATCTAGAAATCAGAGCCTAATTGTGCTTCCACAACTACTGAAGAAACTTTTTTTCTTTATTTTACATACCAACCACAGTTTTCCCTCCCTCCTCTCCTCCTGTCCCCCCCCCCCACTTCCTCTCTTACTGCCCCCTCCCATCCACTCCTCCGTCTCCATTCAGATGGCTCTTTGGAACCCATTCCCTATGGTGGGGTGTCTTGTTCATGCCTTGTTCAGCTTTGATGCAGGGGGAGGAGCTCGGTCCTGCTGCAACTTGATATGTCATGCTTTGTGGATTCCGAAGGGAGACCTTATCTCATCCATCTGAAGAAACTTTTTGAGACAACCAACTCTCTCTCTCTCTTTCTCTCTCTCTCCCTCCTTCTCTCTCCAAAAATGAGAAGCATGGTTACAAGAAAGAGAAAATGCCATGATTGACCCTCAATTCCAGTGCCTGACAGGTAGAACTCCAGAGTAGGGCTGGGATTGTTTCCTTCAAGCTTTGTGCTTAGGACTGGAGATTCTTCAAATAAGAACTGTGCATCAAAAATTAGTTACAAGTGTGTATTCTGCATACTTCTTTGGCTATAAAACTGTGTCACTGTGGAGAAATGAGATTGCAAAGAAGAGGAAGGAGAGGAAGAAGGAGGAGGAGGAGGAGGGAACTAAAACATTCTTAATCCTATTTGCTGGTGAGTTGCCACTTTTTGATAATTTGGTGAATTATTCTTTATTATTTTCCATGTTCATATATAAAAGTTTGTGTGTAACTAGCTGCAACTATATTATACCCACAAACAACAGATAAATCACTTGGTACATAATGTTTTGGAGCCTAATTGTGTTCCATTTAACCTGGTACAAATGTCTTTTTCTTCCTAAGCATCTACCATCATAGTAACTTTTATTCTCTTTTGGTATTTGAGGGTAAAAGATATTACAAGAATAATTTCATTCTGTTGGAATTTCATGGCCCCATTTTAGGTCTGTTGTGTGTGTGTGTGTGTATGAGAGAGAGACAAACAGAAAGTGTGTGTGTATGTGTGTTTAAGAGACAGAGACAGAGAAAGTGTGTATGTGTGTGTAAGAGAGAGAGACAGACAGAAAGGGTGTGTGTATATACAGGGTATGTGTGTGTGTGTGTGTGTGTTTGGTGGGGGGTGTTTGCTTTCAATTGAGCAATCACCTGGGTAAAGAGAAGATGAAACTAACCTGTTTTTTTTTTTTTTATGTCCCCGGATGAGGAAGGTGTAGGCATTTAGTCATTTCAGCCAAGCTGAACACAAAGGAAAGCTGTGGGCAGCAGGGTGAGTTATATGCGCTGCAGTCCTCCACCCCCGCCCCCACCCCAGGAAACTACGACCAGGGAGCACCAGCCACTAGAGGTGGGGCGTCCTGTATTACAGAAACACGGTTCTCTCCAGACACTTTTCCACCAAGGTTGGAAGGCAGACCACATTACAAAGTATCTTTCAGAGCCAAGAGGTGGCCAGGAGGGCACGGCTGGGCTGAGTGGCTGAGCTGAACACGTGATACTGCCAGACTGCCTCCTGGGCCCTCTGTGAGCCTGAGGCTGAAATCAACATTTGCCTCTGGCAGGGAAATGAACTTGTTAGTTTCCGTGTGCTTCAGATCCTCAGCCCAAAGGAGCCAGGGGTTGCAGTAGCAGTTTGGCTTTGTGTATCGAGAACCTCACAGCTATAAAGGTAAGTTGTTTGTCACTCTGGGAAACAAACCTGAGAGCAGTGACCTAGAAATCCACACCACCACTGTCAATTTACAAAAATATGATCTTGAAAAGAATAGATTGCTGACAGAGGCAAGGGCTGTATTTAACCTTAATTAGAGTTTGACCTTGTGAGCAGAAATGTGGTTAATCTGGAGGCAATGGTGGTAAAGGGGACAGGGTTAAATATAGAAGGAAATAAAAGCTGTTGGAATAAGTGGCCAGCCAACTTACCTCATGCCTGCTTGTAAAACAATCTATTTAACGTGTCTTTCAGGAGAGTGAGCAAAAGGAGAGTTATAATTGTGATTTAAACTTAAAACAATCCCTGTGAAATTGGGGTACAAATGAAAAGAGCTTCCACCACTGCCCTTTTACATCCCCACAACATTTATGTGGTTTGGCAAACAACAAAGATTTTATACATGAACTGCTTTAAGTTCTAAATGTGCTAGTTCCAATTTATGAACTGATCACGGAATATTCTAAAAGCCTTTAAAGAAAGGCTATTTTACTGTCAATGAAAACGACAATATGCATTATAATAGTAAAGTGACTCACTTCTTCAGAATGTCAGAAAAATTAGACAAACCGAAATAATGAGTTGTTTTCACCAAACTCATGCTTGAGAGATGAAATGGCTTACCCGGGAGTTAAGAAAAATAAGCACAGACACATACAGTTGTGTTCTCAGTGTTTTATTTTAAATAATCAAATATTGCAGTGAGTAGTATTAATGTGTAGTGCCACTGTTTTTGTTTCCCTTAGCAAATAAAACTAATGTAATGCAGCTACTGAGAATAATTAAAAGTATTAGTTATCGGTACACTTAGCAGAATATTTCAGCAAGAACTGCTTGAGTGTAATACTTGGCATATACTTTGGAACACCAAACCTCAAATGCAGTGTGTTCATGCATATTTCAGGTGTCATTTTTGATTTTCGTAAAATATATTTCTTTATTGCATCTGATAAAGTAGAACACCAGATTGTGTTCCATTCCACAATAATCTCCTTATTGCTACCCTTTTTTTTGAAATCCTATTATATGCTTGGAACCTGTAATAATGTCGATTGCTCCTGTGCACTGTTTCCCCTAACTTTCCAAACAAGGCCAAGCAATAGGCATGCATCAAGACAAACACTCTGAAAGGAGGTCAGATTGACCGTTACCCGCCTCCTTTGGAACATCCAGGGTCTTTCCACCCCACCCTAGGACCTCCGGTCTTGCTCCCAGCCCAAGGACTCCAAAGCCATCACGTGGCAGCGTGGAGCCCGCCTCCTGATGACGTCACAGCACTCGCAGCAGACGTGCTGAAGAAAGGATGCTCTAGGATGCTGTCCAGGTGGACGGCCAGGCTGCAAGATGCGGCACTGCAGGTAAGGGGTGCGTGGTGCCTGAATGCCTTTCATGGAGTTCCCAACAGTGGAGCGCTCCAGGTGGAGCCCGGGTCGGTGGTCTTGCTGCCCTGGCAGCACCCCCTAAAACCGAAAGTGGGGCCTTTGGCTGCTGCAGAGCGTGCTGCCCACAGCTGCTTCCTCCTGCTCCTTTTGCTGTTGCAAGCATCAGATGGGGAGTGGCCTGATGCAGGTCCATGCGTGAGTTGGGTCTTGGCGTGTTCACCTGCAGAAAGTGGGCAGGGGCCAGACAGAAAGATAAGAGCCTCTTGCAAGGAGGGGGAGAAAAATATGTACCGACTACAACACATGCATTCTAAGGACAGAGAACAAGAGCAAGAGCCGCTTTTCAAAGATAACCATAAACCATTTTCCTTCTGCCATCGTGCTGGCTCAATAAAAATATCTTTATTAATTCTTCTCACAGAGGTTGCTTCTCAGCAGTGATCCTAATTTCATTCAAAGCAAAAACTTGCTGGGGAATGGCAACTTCTTAGCTGGAATATCCAGGCCAGGTGTGCATTATTTTGCAAGGTACCAGCGTTTAAACATATTTTTTTCAGGCAGGTGTTTTCAGTAAATTTAAAAATAATAGCATTCAATTAAATACAATAAAATATAGTTTGCAAAGATAATGGGGCACTGTAAAACATGGCTATATCTCTAAGAACAAAATGCTGCTTAGCAAGAGCTGGGGGTTGGAGATAACCCAGACCTTCAGAATTTCCAGCGCTCTTCTTAATTGCTTTGCTGCATAATTAGCTCACTGAAGGAAGGGGCTTGATGACTCAGCGGGAGATGGAGGGGTCAGGTGACTTCAGTCCCAGCATGACAGCCTGTGTGTGCACGTGGTGGGGGGTTTAATGCCCTCTTTCCCACCAACCCTGTTTACATTCCTTTTCTTTTGGTCTGTGGCCAGGACATGTGTGGGCACCCTAGGGAGGAGAATTAACATTTTTTTCTGAAAACCTGATGCCTCTAGAAGCTGAGGCATCAGTCAACTGCACTGGAACTTACTCCCTGAAGAAATCCATCCACCAGCAACTTTGGTGAAACAGTGCTATTCAAACTGATAATTAAAGATGGCATTTTGTTCAGACTTTGGGCTATCCTGGTGGGTTGTTGTATCGTTCATTCAGTGATATATTTATTGTGATTTTCTTCCTTTGGTTTAGGTTGGCTGCAAGCTTTAAGATTAGTCAGAATTGTAGCTCAGTGTTAGGTCATGTGCTTTATATTTGAGAGACCCTGGATTCCATTTCTAACAGCAAAAACAAAGCACCCTCAGGTCCCCATCCTTTCTTCTCCCGAACCAACTCTTGACAGAGCAAAGCAGTGATGGAAGCAGGTGAAATAGATACTTGGAGCTACTTCTGATTTTGCAGCTGTATAACCTGGGAATAGTCACTGTGATCTTTTCTTTTTAGACTTCAGCTTTCTCGTTCTTAAAGTAACAGTCATTTGGTTTACAGTTTCTTAACTTTAGGGTGGCTATGAGGGGCATCTGATTCACTGTAGGATGTTTAGCCTAGTCTGGCCTCCACCTACTGATGCCAGTATGAAGCTCTTCCTTCTGTTGTGACAACCCAAAATGTCACCAGACATTGCCACCTGCTTAAGGATTACATTGACCCTGGTTAAGAGTTACTGATTTAGACAATAGCTTTATTCTTTTTGCCACCCTGGTATTGGGGGTGGAATCTAGGGTTGTGTATTGTCTGTTAGGTAAGCACTTTACCACTGAGCCATAGTCCCAGCCCATAGATGTACTTTAAATGTTTTTCCAGCTCTTACATTCCAGAATTTTTTTTTTATGATTTGTTTGATGTGGAGCCCTTGTTCTGAAATTGTCATACTGGGTATACGTGAATTATAAATGTGAAGGCTTTCTTTATTGAAGATTATCATTTGCAGTTTCTGAGGGAAGAGGAGAGGGATGCTTGCATGGCATTTGTAGTTGGGGGCTGGACTGACACAAAAGTGAGTGTTGGGGACAAAGAAACAGGCATTAGCCAGTCATGGGCTGACATCTCCCCAGCAAACCTGTATATATTATAAGTCTCAATCTGGGTGAAAAGTGTCCAGTGAAGATGCCATTTTTCCCTTTTGCAAGGGTGAGAATGACAAGCTGCAGTGGAGGTATCTGAAGGATGGAGTGAGATGCTTTGTTCTGGGGCCAGGTATGGTGAAGTAAGGATGGCAGTAGGGTCCCCACAGCTATGAGGAGGTCAACATGACTACCTGCTGAACCAGCAATCTGGCAGGTATCTCAGGGAAGCCATGCATGCAGGCCTTAAGATTTAGGATAGGACTATGTGTCTTCACACTTATGAGGGTAGACAATTGGCCACATTACTTCTCATCTTAGCGTAGATGCAAGATATGTAAGATGGGGCCAACTAGTACTTTCTGGTCCTGCTTCTTCACGTTTAGAAAGGACCAGACTCATGGAAGATAGAAACATTCCAAGAGACATGAAACTGTGGTCCTGGTGCTGTTGCAAGGTGGGAAACATGTTTACTAAGGGTTTGAAGAATCTGAAAATATTTCTTTGTCTCCTGTGCCTGAGGATTTGGGATGTACCCCCTCCAATTCTTTTGTCATCAGCTCATGTCTGTCTGCCCCTCCTCTCTTGGCCCCATCCTTAGGAAATGGTTTGCTTTTAGTGAAACAGGCTGCTGCTGAAATCTAGGATGATAGCAGCTGGCCATATCTGCTCCTCAGGTGGCTTTCTGCTTGGGCTTCTTTCCCCTGAGTCCAGATAGCTCCTCTTGCAGCCAGAGAGGTAACAACTCTTGTTACCTCAGAAGGCTTGGCCTTCACTCTGAGCTATCCGGCCTTGCTTCTTCATAATTCAGTATCGTAAAAGCAAATTAGAATGAGGACATGAGGGTATTCTTCATCAAATGATACCTAAGAGATCAAAGAACCTAATAAAATTTGTGGCCCTTGATTGGATCCCAGACTGAACAAACATGCAGTAGACATCGGGAGGACACTTGAAGAGTTATGTGTCTGGCTATCACATGATCCAAGGAGACTAGTGCTGATTTGGTAAAATGAATCTGAGACTTACCCTCTTACTGGGTACAATCTTGTGTAATCCTCTCCCTTGGCAGTTGGGCCACACCTAGTGACTCACATGGATATAAAATGGCTGGGACAAAGATGTGGCACTTCTAAAACTAGGGTATAAAGAACCAAGACTTCAGTCTTGGGTATGTGTTCTCTCTCTTGAGTCACTCCAGCACAGGAGCGAGATGCTGAGAATTCCTGCCTTGTGTTGGGAGCCAAAACCAGTTGTGGCATGGGTGCACTTGGCAACAGATCTCTCGGCCCCAGCTGAGGCTTGAGGTTGTGGCCGTCTTCTGAGAGGCCTGGGACCTAGGGACTTAGCTCAGGCACACTCAGATTTGTGTCAGAAACACCGTGATAATTAGTTTTAATTGTTAATGTGACACAATGAATATCACCTGGAAAGAGTCTCAATAATGAATTGTCTAGATTGGGTTGACCAGTAGGCGTGTGGGGGAAGATTTATTTTGATTGCATTAATTGGTATGGGAAGACGTAGCCCATTGTGGGCAGCACCATTCCCAGAGTTTGGCTCCTGAACTGTATAATGGTATAGAAAGTTAGCTGAGCAATAAATATTCATGCATTTATTCTCTCCTGCCCTTGACTGTTAATGTAATTTGCTGCTTTAAGTTTCCACTGCTTTGACTTCTCTGCAATGATGGACTGTCATCTGGAATTGTATGCCAGATAAACCCCTTCTCCCTTGAAGTTGCTTTTGTTAGGGTATTGTATCACAGCAACAGGAAAGGAAACTAGGACACTCAGTGAGATAAGACATGCTTATTTCCTACGACTGTGTTTTGGGTAATTTGTTACACAGCAATATATGTATGGATAACTCATACATATGTTTATGGGCAGGGGGTCTTACATTTTGGAGATTCTTGTTGAAGTACTCCAGTTGAAGAGGTAAAACGCCATGATAAAAGCAATTTACTTTTTTTTTAATTTTTAGTACTTTTTGGAGATCTCTTTAATATGTGTTTAAGTTGAAGACAGAGAATTATTCTCCTAACTGTATTATTTTCAGTGCCTTGTAGCATGGCCCCTCCCTGCTCATCCAGTGGGTGTGTTGGACGTGGGAAAGTCTCACTGTTAGTCTTTTGCTTAACTATGTTTTCAGAAGCAACCCAACAGACATTTTCTTTCTCATATGCAGGGATGAGCTTCTTTTATACATCATGATGTTAATTATATATTAATGAAAAATAATACCTTATTTTTGATGAAATAGGCATTTATGGACATGGTGACAATTTCAAGGTTACATAAAGACCATTTTATTCCCTTATATTCTTGTACTCCCTACTGCCTAACCTATAGATAATCTGGTTATATACTATTTCAGAAAATGCTTGTGCAGACACACCCATCTATATAGTATGTCATCACTTGCCTCTTTTCTCCCCTGTCTTGACATGCAGTATGTACAAAATTGGGGCTGGAGATATGGCTCAGTAGTTAAGAGTACTTGTTGTTCTTGCATAGGACCTGGGTTTGCTTCCCAGTACCCATATGCCAGTTCAAACTGCCTGTAACTCCAGTTCCAGCAGATCTCACACTCTTTTGACCTCTATAAGCAGCAGGATCACATGTAGTGTGTATGTGTGTGTGTGTATATACACACATACACACATACATACATATATGCAAGTAAAAACACATAAAATAAGTAAATCCAAATGAATATACGCAAAGTCAGATTCAGGAAGATTACTTCCATTAATTTTGGTATATCTATACATTGAACATTACTAGACCTTCCAAGGATACTATCTTGTCCCATTGGCTAGAGTGGCCACTACCATTTTGGTTCCTATTAGCACAGGTTTGCCTGTTCTCGAATTTCACATAGATGGAATCACAAAATACACTTTCACATCTAGCTCCTTTGCTCTGAATGC